TTCTTTTGTTTTCTTCCTCTTCAAACTGTATTCACAATTGGCCTATTTTCTCACTGTTAAACCTTCCCATTTCAGAGTCTGGTGGCAAAGCCATGAGGTTGAGAGCTAGCCCCAGTCGCCAAAATAATTGGGAAAGAAATAATGTGGATGATTAAAATGTAAATCAGTTAAACTTAAAGTCATCCAGTCTGCTCAATAATCTAGTATACTTTAAGGCAAAACATCTTGAATTTGATAGTATACTTATTAAGTATTCATTGAATTATCAAGTTATAATTATACCTTTATAATGCCCTGTCAGCGTCTTGCCACTCCAGGTTTTTCCAAGGCACTTCTAATTTCTTACAATTACTTTAATGTAATTTCAGAATAATTTTTATTCATTTCTTAAAGATGCAATTATGAAATAGTTTTTTGTTCTTGTGATATATTTTTCTTAAAACAGATAGTGATACTCATTTTCATGAGCTAGATCAAATGCCCTCATTCATTCACTTGATAAGTCATTACTGAGTGCCAACTGTGAGAGCAAACTCAATATCAAACTTGAATAACTCATATCTTGGCTTTAATTTTTTTTAGGATTGAGTATATAATCTCTCTAATATTTAGCAGATGTTTTAGGTTGACTGAACCCAAGAAGCTTCTATCTGTATACTTTAAAATGTTTACCTTTTGTGTGTTTATTACACTGTTTAGAGAAACAAAAGAAAGATGGAAACTCTTTCAACCAAATGCAGATACCCCAAAGCACATGAAATTTTGCATGTAAATCCAGTGGTTTGATGTCCATCGGAACCCACTGGCCAGGGGTGAGGCTGCTGTGGCAGGAGAGTTGCATTTGGCTGCAGCCGAGTGCTGAGAGACGTACTAGAAGGTGATTTTAGGTAGGTTATTATGGGGAGGTTCCTGAATGCCAAGACAGGAAATGAGGACTTTCTAGTGTAAATTGTGGGAAGCCATTGAAAGTTTCTGAGAAAGGCAGGCTTCTGAAGGAGTAATCTAGCAATTGTATAAAATACAGGCTTCAAGGCAGAAGACTAGGGTTGGAAATGTAGGTTTGGAGACTTGCAAAGTCAGGATAAGCAACAATAAGTTTATAAAGTAAGGTAAGAAATAGATAAGGTGATGGATATATATGAAAGAAAAAATGATTTTGTGGGAATCATGTCATTTCAACTTGACTTTTATCCTAGACTCAAAACCTCCCTGGTGCAGTTTCTCACAATTGTCACCACCTATGTGGATACCCAGCCATTGGACATTGTTGAAGAAGCACCAGCTGGCTCTGGCCAGAGTGGCTCAGTTGGTTGGAGCACCGTCCCGTGAACCGGGAGGGCATGGTGCCTCTCATGCACCCCCATCTGGGGACCTGGCCTGCAACCCAGAGTCAGGACACATGCCTAGGTTGCAGGTTTGGTCCCCAGTCAGGGTGCATATGAGGGACAACCAATCAATGTTTATCTCCCTCTTTCTCCCCCTCCCTCCCCCTCTCTCTTAACTCAATAAGCATGTCCTCGGTGAGGATTAAAAAAATAAATTTAAAAAAGAAGTGCCAACTGAAGCAGCTGATACCATTTAAAGAGAATAATTTTCAAGTGTAGTGTTGTTCCACTGGCTGTTTACCTGCTCCATTTAGCTTCCTTCTCATCCCTCATTGCAGCTGTTTCTTTTTTAACTACTCTCCTCAGCCACCGTGAAACCCAGACTTACTTAAAGCCACCTCAATTGTTATTTTTCTCCCTCAGCCTCCAATAATCTATTTCACCTACTGCTGCTAGATTAATCTCTGTGAGGGCCACATGTGATCAGATACGTAAGTTCAAACTTTCAATAAGTTAGGATAAAACTTTCTAATGACTAACACTTCCTGTTTTAAAAAAAGATTTTAGACAGGGGAAAGGATGGAGAAAGAGAAGGAGAGAAACAATGTATGGTTGCCTCTCATGCACCCCCATCTGGGGACCTGGCCTGCAACCCAGGTATGTGCCCTGACCTGGGAATCAAACTGGCAACCCTTTAGTTCACAGGCTGGTGCTCAATCCACTAAGCTGTACCAGCCAGGTCATGGCTAACCCTTCTATATGAACTTTTGATCCCACATCCTCTTCTTCTCCCTAAAATCCCTCTTTCATAAATGTCTCCACCTCTATTCTATGTCTTCAATCTTATGTTCTGATGGTTCTTGGAACTCAGCCTACTGGCCAGAACTAGTCTTCCCATCCCATCCTGGCATACTTCCACTTCAGAAGTTCTCTGTTACCTTATGAAATAAAATCCAAACCTCTTAAGAGATTTATAAAAAACTGCATTTTCTGGCTCTAAAGCCCTTGTCATTAATCTACCATCCTATTCAGCTTCTTTCTTCTGCAAAGTTAGTTTAAAAATAGAAAGTCTTCACTATCTACCCAGTCATGAAAAGCAAAAACTTCTGCCTTTCTTGCTTCCTTGTCCTCCTTCATGTTTATATAGGAAGTTCCCAGGATCTGTTGATTCTGCCACCTGGCTGAATGTCATCTTACCTCTGTGTCCCTTCTGTCCCTGCTGGACTTGGATTCTAGTCACTACCCTCAGGGCCATTTCAGTGGCTTCCTCCTTACTGTCTCTGCCAGTTGTTTCTTCACACTCTGGTTCAGGTTCCCACTGCTGTTACAATAATATTCCTAGAAATAAATCTAAGTGTGTCCTGACAGTGTACCTTCTCAGTCAGGCTGTTTAATATTGGACCCCTTCCCTCCTACACACTCCTGATTTCCTTTGCCATGTTCCACTTTGTCTTTTATTTTTCTTCCAAAGCATGTATCTTCTAATGTGCTCTACAGTTTACTTAGTTCCATTGTGTATTTTATGTTCCCCACCATACTCACTAGTTGTAAGCTCCGCAAGTTGGTATTTTTATCTGTTTGTTTACTGACAGAGCCTAAGCGTCTGGTACAAAGTAAGCTCTCGATACATATTTGTTGAACATAAAAATGCCAATTTCCATTTTCAAATTCTCTTCTTTTCCCCTTGTTTATGGGATACAAATACCTAAGAAAATCTTTCAAAGGTTTGCCTGATCTGGCTGCAGACTCCTCCAGCCACCACCTCTCCCCACCGCTCCTCACCTCACTATGTAACCAGTGCTCACAGGTCGCCATCTCTTGCTGTTCCTGCACATGCCATGCTCTTTCAGCCCTCTCTGTTCCTTCTGGGTCTGCTCTCCTTGTAGGGAGCCACTTCTGCCTCTCCTCCATGTGGGGCAACAGTTTCTCCTCTTTTAAAATCTAGCCAAATGTTATGTCCCTGATGTCTTCTCCAGCATGGCCAAGCAGAACTAGTCACTCTCTCCTCTTTGACGCCATTGAATTTCATGTGATTTCCCAATTCGGCAGTTTTACACACTGAGCCCTTTGTCTCCTCCTCTAAACTCTGTGCTCAGCCACGGCCACTTCTTCTGTGCATCTGCCCAAAAATGATCACAGCATCTGGCATGGTATTAAGTAGTTACTTAACACAATGATTCAGAAGAGGAGCTACCAGTGCATTGAGCTATGTAGTCAAAGGCTTTCAGTGCCACCACCACGCATCATGTCCAAATCATTGTTACCCTCGCCTGCAAACCTTACCTCCCTGTGTGCCCTGTTCCCATGAATGAAGGGTGCCACTCCACTGACGTGAATCTGGACATGAGGAATTTTCTGCTGCCCCTCCATCAGGCCACCCAATCAGTCACCAAGTCCCCTGAACTTTGCTTCCCAGACATCTCTCAAATTCATCTCCTCCTTGTCAGTCTTGCTGCCAGGAGTCTTTACTAGCCTGTCGTCATCTGTCACCACAGCATACTACCTGGCACATGGTAGAGGTTGCGAATATATTTGTTGAATGAATGAATCTCTTGAGTTAAAACCATTTCAGATGACATCAGGCAGACTGCCAGGCTGTAAGACTGAGCTTCCAAGGACAGCTCACCCCAGTGATTTTTCTGAAAGACAGTGTGAAAGGTCTGACAGAGTGGTTTTTGGATCAGCCCCGGCTCTAGACGCAATTTGACTTTCTGGAAAGGTGAGCCCCTCCCACCCCCTTGATTTTGCCCAGGAGGTTATTTTCTTTGATTATTCCTGTCTTAAAAATTCAAGTCATGGTATATTTACTTCACTGAGATGTGCAAATTCTCATGTAAAATGGAAAAGAGTTTGTTTTATTCCAAGTTATAAAAGATGTCAGGGTGATTATGACCTTAATGGAAGGGCCCCCACTAAGCATCACAGGTTTGAGTGACCTCAAATGTAAAGTTACTGGGATTAGTCTAGGTGCTCTCTAAAGTCACTCTTGGATTTCAGTTCCTAAGAGTCTTCTTTCAAAAATTAAAACAGAACCCAAAAGACTAGAGGAATTGAGGCTTTATGAAATCTAACAAATAGTGACTGATCGAAAATCAGTAACTCTAAGGTAGAGCCACACACTCAACAGATTCCAGCACTTCTGTGGTTCTGGGTAAAGCAGGATAGTAGGAAGGAGGGTTGTAGGTGGTGGAGACGTTGGCACTGGAATAGACAGTTGATAAATGTTTTTTCCCTCTTTTCTCAGCAGTCAGTGTTATAGTGATTGTATCTGCCAAGTCTTATTTGAGAAAGTGCTGGGCCAGTAGTTACACTCACTGTCATTTGACTCTTCTGATGCCCCCTCCCTGCCTTGTGGGAAGTCTCTGGTGTGTGAAAAGGACTCCTCCTCCTCCTCTTCCTCCTCCTCCTCCACCTCTTCTCCTCTTCCTTCTCCTCCTCATTCTCAATTCTAAGTCACGGTTAGGTCTTCCATATCCCTAGGGTTTGGTTGACTGTCCCCAGCTTGTAGAACATGTTGGTGTGACTTCCATTCCAAAAGACAAAAAGAGAAACGAAACTTCAGTCATGTGGTTTCTGTTATCTGTAACCATGGAAAACGTTGGCCATCTGTGAGGCTCCCATTTTAACACTTTTTTTCTCTCTCTTTATTTCCATCATTTTCTTGGGAAAAACAAGCTGAGGAAGTGGAGAGGCTGGCGGCCATGCGTTCTGACTCCCTTGTCCCAGGTACCCATACCCCACCCATCCGGAGGAGGAGTAAGTTTGCCAACCTGGGAAGGATTTTCAAGCCTTGGAAATGGAGGAAGAAGAAAAGTGAAAAGTTCAAACACACATCTGCAGGTAAGATTATTTTTCCTTCATTTCTCACTGGGCTTTTGTTGACTTCAACTCTGTTTAATTAGTAGACTTCAGTTGCTGTAGGTTGTTGGAATCAATGGGGGAAAAAATCAAACTGTAAGATTGCTCTTGTTTTTAATAATTATTTCATATGATAGAGAATGACTTTTAGATTCTGTGTTTTCTTATGTGTCAGGTTTTTGTTGCTGTTGTTTTTTAATCGAAGCATCACTGCTTTTATATGATCTATAAATATCGGAACTTAGAGCTCCACCTTTTCCATAATTGAATGCTTTCATTCTAGCATTGACAATCCATTTCTTAATTTGCATCCCTATTTTCACTACTCCAGTAAAAATCAACACAAAGCCGAAGTAAGCTATATATAGTTGTTGGCAGATAGAATAGGTTAGTTCATGGAGGAAGAGTCTTGAATAAATGATTCCTGGACATGACAGGAAAATACGGGAGAATAGAAATGAAGCATCACTGATGACAAAGGTAATTATGCAGTTTGTAGTCTAATGGACAGCAGAAGAACTCAGGACAAGTCAGCGTAGCTGAAAGGTTAAGAGCAAAGATTCTGGAGTCTGAGTACCTGGGTTCTAGTCCCAACTCTGATGCTTGGTAGTTGTAAGGCCTCAGTTTCCCCATCTATAAGACAGGGTTAAGAATTATACCTTACATAAATTAAAATTGTAGAGAGTGTATATGGTACCCTATGTGGTTATTTTTTATATGAGAAAGAGTGTATGGAGGGTACTATATAGTGAAATAGTTCTGGATTCACCCTGTTTTAGAAGAGATGATAGAAAAGCTATGCAGATGCTTTGTGTTTTGTGTGCTTTGATTTTGTTAATTATGTGCCCAGGTCACTCCAGGCCTCCTCTAGCACTTTCATATCCTTCTCCCTCTATGCCCTAAAAAACAACCTGCTCACAGTCCTCCTGAGATTTATCACCTCCTCTATTTTTTAGTCCTTTCTTCCTTTTCTTCACCCCACTCCAGACTAACTGTGAAATAAGAGATAATCTGCTTCTTGTACCTGAACACTATTCCACACATCCAATAATTTTAATACCAATTATTTTGGAAGAATGGAGGAGAATAACAAACATAGGGAAGTTGCAAAAAGTCTTGAAATCTTAAACAGTCCTCATGGTAGATGTCCCCAGTTTATGTTCTGACTCTGTTTCTTAGATTAAAGCCCCAGTGCCCTGCTGCCATCTGCTATCTCCTGAGATTAGAATGAACTTCTGAATTCTATGAATCTCTAAATTGTTGCCCCTCTGATCGAATCCATTCACCTGATGCATTCTCTACCCTCTTGGTCACTGGACAGATCTGTGAAGGTGCACATGTAGGTCATTCATGCATTCCCCAACCCTACTGAGAGATTTACTAGCAAGTGAAACTCTAAATGCATAATGCCTCTAAATGCCCTCTGCCATGAGGTGACAAGGGAAAGGACATTTAGACCATTGCCTTGGAGTAGAGAAATCTAAATAAAATACATTCTTTAAGCAAAGGGAGGCATAAAACACTTGAACAAAAAAAAGAAAAAAGAGTACTTTATAAGCACTACTTATAGAATAAAATGATAGCAAAGATTTAACAAGATCCTTTACAATGTTCTTCCTGACTTTGTTATGAAAAATTGTTTATGATAGAAATATACATTTGAATAATTGCCATTTATCAGCATGACTCCATGCATGATGAGGTGGTAGAAGCACTTCCTCCCGGCAAATCAGGAGCTTTGCTGAGTGCATTTGGTGAGGCCATAGGCAAAGCTCCCATGCTTGTCACACTGAAAGACACCTGATCAATTATGCTGACTTCTTCAAGATTTGGGGAAACTTGTCCTATGACAGATGCAAATACAATGGCATCAAATTACTCATGAATCATAACAACTCTGAAAAAAACTTTCATTTAAAATTCTTTGGGGAGAAAGAATTAAAAAACATGACAGGCAAAGTTGCAACTTTAATCATTCTTATTTTTAACTATTCTCAGCAAGTTATTATGATTTCTATGGCCAAACTGATTAAATTGGCATCTGAATATGATACTTGTATGTAGTTTTTTGTTTTTTAAGAGAAATTTATCTTCTGAAGTAGAGAAGCTGGAGGATCTACTATGGAATATTTTTATATTGTAATAGATAGATGGGTTTGTGATGTAACTGAAACTATTCTGTTTTTTTTTAAACTTAGTGGTTTACCATGTAGTATTCTTTCTACTTAACTGGATTCAGAAATATTATTTATTTTTGGAAAGGAGAGACATGTGCTAGTTTTTAGCTCAAAGGAGAAAAATATTGACAGTGAAAGGATGTTATCAACATAAATTGTATATATGTTCAAAGAATACATATTATTTGAATTACAAACCTTCCTATGTATGGCTGAGAGTCAAATATTAAATATACAAGAAGATTAATTGATTGTGAGAATGTTCATTGTTTAGCCGGTTTTAGTTGGTAGCATATATTTACCTTGGATATGTGTGTATATATGTCCTTTCATATGTATGATTATGTGCACAATTTTAAATGCAAAGAATAAGTCCACATATTGCATTTGTATTATGTATTTGTATTTAAAATTGTGTGCTGTTTTGAACACTGGAGATTACATTACACAGTGAATACTTGTCCTGTGATTTTTTCCACAATGATTTAGATTTATTATTTGCCATAGTAAGGTATACTGTAGTTTTACTGTAACTCAAGGTATGGGACACGTGTGCCTGTATATATGCAACACCTTCAAAGGTACACCCAGAAGTATTGCTTTGCAAGTTATATAGCAATAAGAAAACTATATTAGAAAACTATGATCTCAACATTTTCCTCAATTTTGGCATCAGCAGCTACTCTGTGAATTTTTCAAAGGCAGATCTTTGTATATCATGCTGCTCATTCATCCTTTCTATTCCAAGCTGAAGGCCCCTGTCCTTAAAAGACCTTCAGCAATAAGACCCAGAGACTGAGCTCTGCATGGTGGCTAAAGCACTACAGGATAAAGAGTTTCTCTCAGGAGTATCTCTGCATCACATGTCAGTAGCAGCAAAGCAATAGTGCATAGAACACATTGTGAAACAGTAGGTCCTTATGGGGATGATCTCGGTGAGCTTTTCAGCCTGCCTTCAGAGGCTCCACCCAGCTCCTGGGGAGCATTGAGCCTGATGCCCAACTTCTTTTGTGGAATTGGCAATGGGTGACCACAGCATATCCTTACACCTGCCCCAGGATCAAAAACTGATGATAACATCCCCTCCAAAATAGAGCAGACAGTGCCTCCTCAAAAACTGCAGCTATCTTATCCAAATTTCTCAAAAACAAGGACTGTATTTATTTTTTTAAAAGTAGACCTGGCAGGAATAAGCTATAGAGATGCCACTGAGTTATGCTTTTATTTCCTCTGAACAGAAAACCCTAAGATATAGGGATCAGCCCTGCAAATCCACAATATGCAAAGTTTGCTTTGTACATGTAAGCTTTCCTGCATACCTATGGCCTTGAAGGAAAACAACAATGACAAAACTTACTGAGCGCCTACCACATGCTGAAACAGTACCTGGCCCTGGGAATGTAACTGTGAGCAGAAGTAGACTTCGTCAGTTCCCTTGTGGTCTGCACAGTGTAGCTGGAGAGGCAGATGATCAAATCACAAGAAGAGAGGTAAGGTCACAGCTATGAAAAAGGCAGTGAGAGAAAGGTACCCAGGAGACTGAGAGAGAGAGACTCGACTCAGTCTGAAGGATCAGAGAAACTTCCGTAAGGAAGAGCGGTTTGATCTGGGATCAGAGGGTGGGGTAGGAATTTAGAAAATGAGCATTCTGTTCAGCCACAAAACTTGCGCAGGGTCCCTGAAGTAGGAGAAGGTAAAGCGGTCTGGGAAAGCAGGAAAGACCAGTGGCTGCAGAGGGGAGAGCTGGGAGTGTGGTATGGAATAAGACTGAGGCTGGAGAGATAACCGAAGAATGGACCTTCACTGGGCCTACATCCTCTAGAACAAATTAGACAACAGTGTGAATGAACAGAGAGACCAGTTAGGAGGTCATTGTGCAGGTGACAGTGACTTTGACTTATATTTGGTGGTAGGAATGGATGGATTTGGGGGCTGTTATAAGGAATGAGCAGTAGAACTTAATGACAGGTCAGATGTAGAAGGGAGAAAGAGAAGTGTCACAGTTGGTATACTCATATTGGTTTAGGGTTATGTGGTGGTAACCTTCCCTGGAATCAGTACTTTGGGAGGGTGACAGGTTTGGAGGAGTAGGTTCAGGGTGAGAGTAAGGGGGAGATAAGACTACAAGTTTTGATATGTGTTTGATTTAACTTTGTTGATAGCCAAAGTTGGTAGTTGAATATATGGAAAGCAAAGAAGAGGTCTGTGCTTGATATATGGTGTGGGTCATTTGCATACATGTGTTGTTAGAGTGGTGACCTTGTATAAGATTTCTTAGGGAACAAGTACAGACTAGAGAGTTGAAGACGGTCTAGTAGACAAAGGAAGAATCTCATCGCTAATGACTGGATGGAGGAAGATGAACCTGGAAAGGAGATAAAGGGCAGAGGCTAGAGAGGTGGGAAGAAAACCAGAAGAATGTGATGTCATAGGAGCCAGGGGTAGAAAATGTTTGAAGGAGGGTATGATTACCTGTGTTCAGTGCTATGAAGTCAAGTGATGTACAGAAAAATGCCTATTGACTCGAGTGATTCTGATCCACTGGAGGTCATTGATGATTTAGCAAAAGCTCTGTGGGAGGATTATTTGGGAATAGATGCCAGATTAGTGTGGAATGAAAAATTAATAAGAAATAGGGAAAAATAAAGATACATCTTCGAGAAGTGTGACTGTGAAGTAGGGAAATGAGATAGGAGAAGGACGGTTGATGGCGGAAACATGTGTGTCCATAGGGGCTTGTGTGTGTGCAATTTGATTGGAAGGGGGCTGTGTGCCTTCTGATTTGTTGTTCTTTTATTATGAAAG